ATGCAACAGAAAACTTGGGGCCTGACAGTTAGGAGCCCTCTGTTCAAGTTCAGCCTGGCCACACATCAACACCAGGCCCTGTGGAATCTCAGCCTTGTCCAGTTGCCTCTATTTCCCCATTTATTGATTTTTCAGCTTCATTATTGCTTACGTTTCACTGTGCAGAGTCCTTTTTACCACCCCCACCAATGTTTCCAGAGCCTCACATGAATGGAACAAAAGGGAGCCTCTGAGATGGAGGGCAGGGTGTACCCCTGGGCCCTGCGAGCTGGAAGCACAGCTGGAAAACACAGCTGGACCATCCACCATTTTGCCAGAGCCTCTCAGCTCGACGAGTCCCTCTTTGGGAGGTGTTTGCTAAACATGCAGATTCTAGGGTCCTTCACCCAAGCTCCCACTTCGGGTGCTTTGGAGCATCCAGACGTCCGCAACTGTGATGATTTCTGAGCTTATCCCCGGGTTTTACAGTCACCACCACCTTCTTAGACAATTGGCTTCTATGGGTCAGCAGCCCAGCGAGTGTGTGAACCTGTGTGGATACACATGTGTGTGTTGGGGGGATGTGGTTCGCTGTGACATTTTCTACATATTTATATGTATATATATATAGAAAAAGGACTGGAAACAAACAGGATGTCCATTAGTGGGGCTGGGCAAGTTCGCTGGGGCTGGTCTACTCCCTGGAGGACACGCCAGGCGTTAGAAATAAGGAAGAAGGCTTTGATAATACAAGATCTCCAAGATACGGCTAAGGGAAAAAGCAGGTGCAGAACAGTGCCTGTTGTTCCACCACTTGTGTTAAAACATTCATAAAAGAAGAGACATATGGATATGCCTGGGTGAATCTGGAAGGACACACAAGAAACTGGGACCAGGGTGACCTCTGGGGAAGGAGACCCGGGGGTCAGGAGCAAGAGGGGGACCTTTGTTTATATCTGCACCCCTTCCTGGGTCCTGGGTTCAAAGTCTGACCCTATTCAGCTGTGTGGCCCTAAGCCCTGTCTGGGTCTCAGTTTCCCCCATGTGCTCATAGGGTTGTAAGTTTCCAGCCCTAGCCTGGGCTGGCTGGAGGGCCCAGGTGAGCTGGTCCTGCCTCCCCTTCTGTTTTCCAGGATGCTCCTGGCCAGGCCCTACTTGGCCTAAGGAGGGTGGGTCCCTGGGAGGGGGTGGCCCCGTGCAGGGTGGAGCTGAGCTGGAAAAACCGGCAGGGTTGGAGCAGTCTGCGCAGACACGGTCTTCACGTCTGCCTGAGGCCTCTCAGCGTCACTCACTCCCACCCTGTGCCCCCGAGGGGCTGGGACCCGCAACCTGGGGCTTCGGGCTGGAGACCAGCGGGGAAGGGGAGAGTGCCTGGGCTTTAAGCTGGGACTAGAGGGCAAGGAGACGGGGAGAGACAGAGAGGGAGAGGGCGGAGAGCAGGAGAGACACAGTGGGGATCTCGGGGTGGGAGTGGGGGCAGCCAGGAGCCTGGGGCTGCCCGAGGTAGAGGGTGCTTGGGGGCGGAAGGGTGTGGGCACGGGGGTGGAGCCTGCTGCAAGCATCGCCAGCAGGGCTGTTTCCACACCTCGGGGTTGCAGCTGCAGTTCTGTGTGTTCCTAGTAACCGGCTCTGGGGGCCCCCTTCTCTTGCCCCTCCAGCCTTCACTTGGGACCTTGTACCTGGAGGCTGCCTCTCCATGGGGCCCTCTCAGAGCAGAGCTGGGGAGGCCTGAGGTGAAACTGGGCTAATTAGTGCTCGAACCTGAGATAATCGCTGCCTGGAATGTTCCCTGGGAGGTCCAGGTGGGGGCAGGCAGGCAGAGGGCCATGGGTCCCTGGGGTCGGCTCCATTGGGCCTCTGCCTGCAGGCTGCCAGAGCCCTGAATATTGGACCAAGGAGGGCCCCAGGGGCCTGGAGCCTCAACTCTGAGAACCTGAAGTTGCTCAGGCCCCTCCAGGCCATCCTGCAGATCTGATGCCCTGGACTCCCAGTCTGAGCACATCTAAGCCCAGCCTGCAGCCTTCCGTGGCTCCCAGTGGCCCATAAACTAAAATCGCAACCCCTCACCTTGGCCTAGAGGTGCCTGTTGATGTGTTTCTGGTCCTGCCTCATCACCCTGACCCTCCCTTTCTACGCTTTTTACCCCACACTGGGCCCACCACAGGACCTTTGCATATGTTCCCAGGATTCTCTTCCTCATCTTCTTCCCAGAGCTCTGTCCTGTGTATGCTTCAGCCCTCAGCTCAGTCACTCACTGGGAGGGCTCTCCTGCACCTCTCCTTCCTTTTCTTCTTCTCCTTCTTTTTTTTTTTTTTCTTTTTTACTCTTTTGGCCAAGCCACACAGTGTGTGGCATCTTAGTTCCCTGAAACCAGGGATTGAACCCGTGCCCCCTGCATTGGAAGCTTGGAGTCTTAACTACGGGAACACCAGGGGAGTCCGTCTTCTTCCTTCCTTTTAGTGGGCCTCCAGCTCTGATGCCTGCTTCCTCCATGCAAGTGTCAGTTTTCTGAGGACAGGCACCCGCTCTGCCTGGTCACCACTGTGTCCCACCGTGAGCCAGCCAGTGACCGTCAAGAAGTGGCCTGGACATTTTCTGCTGTGTGGATTCCTCCTAGGAAGGGATCTGAGAGGAACCCCTGGGTCTCCTGCATCATCCCCGCCCCTCCTGCAGTCCCAGCCTCAGCAGATCCTGCCTCTGAGTCTTCACAGCTGTGGGCGGCCATGGCTGTGATGTTGTAATCAATCACTGGCCAGAATCCGGTCCTGATTATCTCTGGGCTGTGCCTGGCCTGCCTGACATCAAGGGGGCTGGGACCACAGGCCACTGTATCAGGGGCCCCAGCTATCCCACTGGGCCTCTGGCCTCTGGCCGCAGATAACAGCACAGGCCCCGGTGGCCTCTCCTCAGCTGTAGGCACCTGCACCAAGGACATGCTAGGTGGCCTCGGGCAAGTCCCTGCCCTCCGCTGGGCTGCCAAGTCACGGGGGGTGGGGACCTGCCCTGTAGAAGAGTGAGGGGAGTGGCGGAAATGGGGTCTGTGGCTGGGAGACCTTGGATGTGATAGCAGTGACTTCTCAAGGAGAGTGGAATAGGAAAGGGGGGACACATGACGAGATCCCCATGTGTCCCCTATGGGGGCGGGGAAAGTCCAGGGTGACTGACAGCCCAAAGGAGCCCTGGATGCCCAAGGTTTACAGTGTCCTGAGTCCCATTGACGTGGGGGCAGAAAGTGTTGGCAAGTGAGGGTCTGAGCTATTTCTTGGGCACTGATCCCATGATGGCCTCAGTTTCCTCCTTGTGAAGCAGGGACCGTAGTTCCCACTTCACAGGGATGTGCTTACATGGGATACTGTCTGCGAAGCGCTTGGAACCATGCCTGACGGTGGGAAGCAATCGATAAGGACCATTACTGCCACCTCCTGAAGTCTTGCCTTTTCCGGCCCGCCTGCTCAGGGTTTCCCATGCCAGCACCATTCAGGCCTGGATGATTGCTCTCCTGCTCCAGGCCTCACCCCTACATCTCCTCTCCACGTGCTGCCCGATGGGGCCTTAGGAAATGTAGACAGGATCTCCGTGCAGCAACTTTGCTCAACAGTCTCCCGTGGTTCCCACTGCCCTCAGAATAAGGATTAACCTCCTAATCATGACCTGAAGGTGCGGCTTGACGTTCCCCCCAGACTCCTCCTGCCACGCTCCCTCTCATGCTCACTGCTAGAGTGCTTTCCTCCCCGCTCCCCCCACCCCACCTCCGCTGGTCTCGTCTCTGTGGATCTCCCCTTGCAGCCATCATTATGGACATACGGTTACACTTGCTCTGTCAATGGAGGTCTGTTCCCTACTCCAGAATGCAAGGCAGGAACCGTGTCAATTCTGTTTCCCTCTCTATTCCCAGTGCCCATCATGGGGCTTGACACACACACTAGGTGTAACATAAAGATTTGTCAAATGAGTGAATGAAAAATGGTTTGGTGAGCTGGAGGTTGGGGTGGGCTGGGCATCACTGAGGGCTCAGGTTCTTCCCACCTCGTGGGTTTGTCCTCTCTTCTCAGCCCAGTTCCTTATAGCTCCATGATGGCTGCCTAATCTCCTGCCATCTCTTCCTCATGTGGCTATGGTCAAGGCAGGCAAAGGCCTTCATGTGTCCTCTTAAGGATGAAGAAACTGTTCCCAGAAGTCCCTTGGTGGATTCCGCATCTCACTGGCCACAGACACACTCCACGTCTGATCTCAGCCAATCACTGCAAAGGGAGAGAGAGGGCCATGCGTGGCTTGGGCCAATCAGCATCCGCCCCCAGGGCACTGTGGGCAGAGTCCGCCCTTGCCTTATGAGAGAGAATCCAGCGGGGCCCGGTCTGGGCCCAGAGCTGTGGACCCTGAACTGGGGGCATCTTGAGCATCACTGAGGCTGTGGGTCCCCCCACCCTGCCTTCCCTCTCTAGGGAGCCCTTGGGTGCTGGCTGTGAGCGGAACTGTACGGCTGGGTGACGGTGTCAGGCAAATTAGGCGGCCAGACGCCTTCACCCCAGTAAATACTGATAGAGCTAGGAATGGAGCGGAGCTGGGCGGGCCCAGAGGGAATGTAGGGGAAGAGGGAGCCTGGGCCAGAGATCTGAGGGAGGGCCAGAGAGAAACGACAGAGAGGCGGAGACACGGAGGGAGAGACGGAGAGACAGAGAGACAGAGACACTGAGGGAGAGACGGGGGAGAGACAGAGAGACACAGGGGGAGAGAGGGAGACAGAGATACAGAGAGACAGAGAGATGGGGGAGAGAGAGACAGAGATACAGAGAGACAGAGAGATGGGGGAGAGAGAGACAGAGATACAGAGAGACAGAGAGATGGGGGAGAGACAGAGACACTGAGGGAGAGACGGAGAGACAGAGAGACGGGGAGAGAGAGAGAGACAGAGATACAGAGAGACAGAGAGATGGGGGGAGAGAGACAGAGATACAGAGAGATGGGGGAGAGAGAGACACTGAGGGAGAGACAGAGAGACAGAGATACAGAGAGACAGAGAGATGGGGAGAGAGAGAGAGAGAGACAGAGATACAGAGAGACAGAGATACAGAGAGACAGATACAGAGAGATGGGGGAGAGACAGAGACACTGAGGGAGAGACGGAGAGACAGAGAGACGGGGAGAGAGAGAGAGACAGAGATACAGAGAGACAGAGAGATGGGGAGAGACAGAGACACGGGGGAGAGACAGAGACACTGAGGGAGAGACGGGGGAGAGACAGAGAGACACAGACAGGGGAGAGACAGAGAGACACAGGGGGAGAGAGGGAGACATGGGGGATAGACAGAGACATGGGGAGAGACAGAGACACTGAGGGAAGAGAAAGGCAGGGAGAGACAGAAGGAGAGAAACAGAGAGAGACTTCGCAGGAAAGCTTCTGCATCAGCGCCTCAGCAGGCAGAGGCCCTGTCATGGTGGAGCGGCATCTCTGCCCCTTTCTGCTTGGACTGCTGTCCTGGGCAAGTCATGTGCCAGCCTGAGCCTTGGTGTCCCCCTCTGCTGATGGGGTAAATGACCCCTTTCCATAGGACTGCTTGGCAGGCCCAGCACACCGGGATTATCCTTGCCTCAGTGGCCTCCTTTGGCCTGTAAATGGCTGGAATGGTTGGGAATTGTTGCCCCAGGGGACAGGGGTGATGTGCCCAGGGTCACAGCGGGAGGGCAGGAGGGATTTGGCCATGATCCTAAAGCCTGTGCCCTGTCTGTGCCCTGTAGGGCTGAATGGAGCAGGAAGGAGGGGCATCCCAGCTGCTGGGCACCCTGATGGGTGGCACTGGCTGCAGCAGCAATCCTGGTGATAATGCCAATGGCCCCTGTGTTCTCAGGGCAGCCCAAGTACTGGACACCAACCCTCTGAGGGCGATGCTGCTTCATTCTCTTCATTTTGTGCTTCCTAGTGTGCAGATGAGGAAACAGCCTCAGAGACCCGCAGTGACTTCCCAAGACGGAGCTGCGGGTTGGACTCAGACAGGCCTGGGTCTGAGTCCCTGCTCCTCACAGGCTGGCTGACCTGGGACCCCTCTCTTTCAGCCTCAGTTTCCCCATTTGTAAAACAGGAAAACAGCAGTTTAAAAGATTTAAAAGACATGAGGATTAAATGAGATGATGTAGAGAAAGCACCTAAGCATGGGTCCTGGTACACAGTCAATGTTCAATAAAGGTTAAATGGTAGGTTGGGTAATAGTCTTAAAGTAATTTGAAAACAATCCCTTTAATTGCTCTCCTTGTTACAGAGGAAGAGCTGAGGTCCAGAGAGGGGGGAGGTGACTTGCCCAAGGTCCCCGGCCAAGTGGACGAGCTGAGATTGGAATCTCGTGACCCACAGGTCAGAGCTCACTGCCAGCCCTTCATGGCGCCATGATGGCTCAGCCCTGGACGGCCTGTTGGAGCGTCAGTCCTTGTGGGTCAAGGAGATGCCCATGGCTTGGTCCCATGTCCCTCTGGCCTGGCATTAGCCATATCACCCGTTGGGATGGTTGCAAAATCCCACTCGCTTTAGCAGTCGATAAAGAGTGCCCATTGCAAAACTCAGTGGCAAAATTATTAACTGTTGTGTCACCCTGCGGCCAGGCCCTGGGCACCCCTTTCCTGCCTGGAGGCCTGGGTGGGGCCAAGTGCTCACTCTCTCCCTCCATGCCCTGACCCCGCAGAGGCTGGGGTGGGCTAGGGGCCAGCAGGGGGCTTTCAGGGAGTGGGCAGAGGGCAGATCTGGGCACTGGGCCCGCCCACAGCTCTCCACGCTCAGGAAATGACAGCCCCACCCTTCCGGGTGCTCAGGCTCAAACCCTGGGGTCTCTCAATTCATCTCTTGTCCCGCATCCAGTGCGTGGTCGGAGATTCTCTCAGCCCTACCCTTGAAATACACAGACCCAGCCAGGCTGCCCTTCACTTCCACACCTGGATTCAAAGCACCTCCCTACTGATCTCACCATTCTCCACACAGCCCAAAGGATCCTGCTAAACCCAGGTGGATCCTAAGTCAGATCTTGCCCTTCTGCTTAGGACCCCCAGTGGCTCACATCGAGAACACAAGCCAAAGTCTTCCCAAGGCCCTCAGGGACATGCTTCGTCTGGCCCCACCGCCCTTCTGACCTCCTCATCACCACTCTCTCTTCCTAACTCACTTTTCTCCAGTCCAATTGCCTCCTTGCGATCTCTCCAACACACCAGGTGTGATCTAACCCCAGGGCTTTGCACATGCTGTTCCATGTGTCTGGAATGCTCTTCCCCCAGCTGTGTCGCATAGCTGGATCCCACGGATCATTCAGATCTCATCTCAATGTCACTGCCTCCAGGACGCCTTCCCCGGCCACCCTGCTGAAGCGTCACCTCCAGTATCACCCTCAGCCCTTCTTTCTTCCTGACTCGCCATCATATTATATATTTGTTTATTTGTTTAACATGTGTCTCCTTCCTCAGGGCAGGGACTGTTGTCTGTTCTGTTCACAGTCCTTCTCTGGTGCTCAGTCCAGGCCTGGCCCATAGCGTGTGTGTGCGTGCATGCTCAGTCATGTCTGACTTTTTGTGACCCCATGGACTGTAGCCCACCAGGTTCCTCTGTCCGTGTCTCCTCTTGTCCTCCTTCTCCAGGCAAGAATAGCAGGGTGGGTTGCCATTTCCTCCTCCAGGGCATCTTCCCAATTCAGGGACTGAACCTGCTTCTCTTGCATCTCCTGCACTGGCGGGCAGACTGTTTCCCACTGAGCCGCCTGGGAAGCTCCTGGCACACCATAGCTGCTCCACAAATCAGAGCACGGGTGTGCAAGAAGGGCCACGTCGGCCTAGGTTATGCCTCAGTGAACCTCACCAGGGCCAGTGAACATGCTTTGCCCTCTTCAGCTTGTATTTGGAGACGCTTCCCTGGCCAGCCTGTCAGATGGTCCCCCGACTGCCCTCTCCCTAGCTCCCTGACAGCGCTCACCGTGAACTTGACTTGTTTGTGTCTATGTCCACCCCCAGCCCTCCTCCCCCCAGCCTCGGAGCTCTGTGAGAACAGACCCACGGCTGCCTTGGTTCTCCTGCTGCCCACCAGTGCCCAGCAAGGAGTCTGGCACCCTGCGGGATGTGTCAGGGCCTGGCTGATCCAGATTTGTGTTACAAACCCCATGGGCAGAGCCCACTGGCCAGGAAGGAGTTAAGCGGAGACACGGTGCCCGGACCTGCAAAGTCAGGAAGAGAAGGGGGCCCGCTGGGGCCTTAATTATAACACGTCCCATAATGACACGGTATTATCAATGGCACACAAACTGTACTAATCTGATATTATATCTGGGCTTTTTACAATAGATACAATCAACCGACTGTAGTTTGCTAACTCATTCTCGACCTATCTCCACGCTCCACCTAGATTATTATCGGCTTCCTTAATTAAGTGGAAGGCAGAGCTCTGTGGGCAATGCCCACAGCCCCGGCTTCAATGAGTCTAGCCCAGCCCTCCCATAAGCAGGGATAATAGGTGCTCCCACACGGGGCGAGGCTTCCACCGCCTCCTCCATCCCAAAGCCCTGTCCCAGGCTTGGGCGGGACAGGCCTGTTCAAGGTCTCCTGAACCATGAGCGCTAGCCACCAAGGGCTCAAACTGGTGGCCCATGGGCCTGCTCGGCCTCGAGGCGCGTTGGGTTTGGCCTGTGCAGTGCTTTTGCTGAAAGGCAAAACAAGTTGCCAACCCTGAAAATTAAGGATATTGCACAGAAACATCTAGACTTGTGGCTTCCCCCGAGAAACGCGAGGATCCAGGAACCCCGGGTTCGTAAGCGCTGTGTGCTGGAGCCGAGGCGTGGATGCTGCCAAGGGCCCTGTGTGGCCACAGCTGCCCCAACCTGTTTCACTTTTGTGTCCCTGCCTGAGTCTTGTGGCAGCTGAGTTTGCAACCCCAGCTGTAGGGTTAGAGGTCAGTTACCCATTTGCGAGATGGGATACTGAGGCTCAGAAGGAGCGAGTGCCTTAACTACTATTGCACCGTGAGCCCGGAGCTCAGGCCACAGTCCTTTACTAAGTCTTTACTGAGCGCTTGCTGTATGCCAGAGCCAGGGACACACACTGCGAGAGGTGATAGATGTCACCCCGCCTTCTAGAGGTAGCAGGCTTCCGCTCTCCACGGCCATAATGTCGTCTTTTTTGCTGGGTAACCTATCTGTTGGAGACAGGTCCTTCCTCACTCCCTTGAAGTGGCTGCGCGTAGCTTTTTCATAGCTGCTGCCCTCCATCTTGGGACAGGAAGTGGAAGCGGCCATCTTGGGAGGAAACCGTTGGAAGCGCTCCCAGGACAAGACCGCCCCTACTTCCCAGTCTGGGCTCTCAGAGAGCAGAGCGGCTGGCAGGCGTGGAGGGTGGGAGTGAGGGTGCTGGGTGGGGAAGTGGGCAGAGAAGGCACAGGAGCACCAGCTAGACAGAATTGGAGGGCTTGTCCATCCTGACCGAACCAAAGGTGAATCAGTGAGGCTTCTCCCACTCCCTTTCAAAAGACAAAGACTGGAGGGACAAGCCACCGGAACACCCAAGTTACCCCGCGTGCTAGTCCAGGAAAAAGGCGTTTGCTCAGCCGGCTTGGGAGGCATCGCTCCGCCCGCCCCAGCACCACAGTGCCAGCCCTGGTCAGGAGGAGAAACTGCAGCCGGGAGCGTCTCTCCGCAGCCCCTCGGTGCTGGACCCGGCTCGGGTCTCCCGGAGCCCAGGGCCATGGAGGCTGTGGCAGACCTGCTGGCCTCCCAGGAGCCACATGTGACGAGCATTCAGCTGCCCGCGCGCTCCGTGGAGTGGCTCCCTACTGATGCGGGGTGGGGGGTGGGGGGGGGGCGATGAATAACAGTCCCAGCCGTCATGTGCATTTGCTAAAAATAAACTTGACATGCTTTTGCGTTGGGAAACAATGTGGATTCCAAACATTCTCAAAGGGCAGAGAGGGGAAAAAAAGGAAGAATGGAAATCAAGTTTTTGAGCTTAGTAATTAATTAGCCTGTAAACAAATGACTCACGCTCTTTCCTGGCTATTTTTCTTTCCGTTTTGCGTGGATTTTCGTAGGGGCAGGGGGAGGGAGGCCAAGCGTGCCAAGCACAGAGGCAAGACTGGACCCAGATGCGTCTCCCTGGGGTGCAGGATGGCAACTGTTGGAAGAGGAGTTGGCCAGTTGGAGAAGGAGAGGCTGGGCTTCAGATGGAGAGCACAGCTTGCTGCTCTCGGCGGCCCTGAGAACTGAAAGAGCTTGGCACATTCTGGGAGCAGTGAGAAGCCCAGTGTGGCTTGAGTGGAGTCAGCAAGGGGGTGAAATCAGAGAGGGCCACAGGGGCGGGTCACTTGGAACCCTACTGGTTGTGTGTACAGCATCTAGACTTGATCCTGAAGGCATTGGGAGCCACAGAAAGGTTTTGAGCCAAGAAGGAATATCATCTCATTCATACAATGACGTCGTTTAAAAATTGGGTGATCAGAATAGTAAATTCGAAATGTTCTCAGTTGTTTGGATGCTTCCTGTCTTGAGATTTCCCCAATGAATACTGATCTTGGGGTTGTATTTCCTGAGGGTTCTTAGGGTTAGTGTCTGTCTCTTCTCCATAGCACACCAGCCCCGTGATATCAGAGACTTTCTCGGTCTTGTTTACTCCTGTGTCCCTAGTGCCAAGACCAAGGCTTGGCACACAGTAGGAGCCCAGTAAATGCGTGTCAAGTGACCGAGTTCTCTCTGCAAGGTCAGCAAAGGAGGAGCGGAAGGTAGTGAGGGCTCCACCGCCGGCCTGGGATGGTCCTGGGAAAGGCAGGTTTTATTTAGTTCAAAATAAGGAGAAGTTTTAAGGCTGGAAAATCACTTCTGTAAGGGACTGGGCTCCCCGGTACTGGGGACGTTCAAATAGGGTGCACACCGCCAGCCCCATGGTACCCGTCTCTGATCTGAGACAGACTCTGTGCCGGCTCGCAGATGTCACCCGACAATGAATGAGGGTGGGGTGTTTCCCTGTTCATTGTGTTGAGAAGTCGAGACCTAGAAAGGAGGTGTGACATGCCCAGAGCCACACAGTCACAAGCCGGGGAGCCCACACTGGAATCCAGGCGTGACGACGAAGGCTTTCGTTTCAACTCCTTTTCTGAGCCATCGACATTGGTTGCGTCTGAGCTCCACCACTTTGATGCTGTGTGGCCTGGGGCAAGCCGCTGTACCTTTCTGAACTTCCGTGTCTTGCTACATTGAATGGGAGTGTGGATACCTGCCTTGCAGGGCTGCTGGGCGGAGTTACGGAGGTCTGAGTGGATAACAGCCACACACGGTGCTCAGAGCTCATGGACCCCTCCTTTCTCTGCTCGGGTCCTTTTGACTTTGGCCCTCCTCCAGGACTGTGGACCCCCTCTTCCGTCAGCCACTCCACAGAGTCTGGTTTCTAGGCACCCACCGCCCACTGGGTGTTGATTCACCCATGCCATGCGCCTCTTGCCTTCTGCCTGCATTTTCTTCTTCCTCCTTTTCTTGGTAAACCCACTGCCTTCTCTGATTGCCAAAGGTCCTCTCAGGGACTGGCGGGTGGGGTGGGGAGACCCCTTCATCCCACAGAATGTTTCTGTTCCTTCCTCATCCCTCCCACCCTCACCACGCAAGCTGAGATCACTAGGCACGAGGCTTGGCCCAAGAGCGCAGGTCACAGTTTGGTGTTTCATTAATCATTACGGAACAGGTGGGGCTCTGGCTGGTGGGACCTGGGGTGGAGGAGGGATGTCAAGGGAGAAATTCTAGGAACAGTGGCGCTCACAGTCATGGCAAACAACTACAGGATAAAGCCAAACTGGGTGTCGGCGGGTGTGCAGTGATGGGGGCGAGCTTGGTGGTTGCGGGGGGGGGGGGCACTGGGTTTGGAGACACTTCGTGGAGGAGATGTATCTTGAGCCAGGTGTGCAGAGGGGAGATGAAGGGTTTGTTTTTGGGGTCAGCTCAGTTGGGCTTTAATCTCCTCTCTGCCCCCTTTCCCAGTAGGTGAACATGGTAATCAAGCTCTCATCTCTCTCCGAGCCTCATTTAGAAAGTGAGATAATAATCATAGCATTCCACTCATAGAGGGTGGCGAAGACTGACTGAGGCGACGCAGATTAAGTGTCTTGAGCAGGGCCAGCCACACGGTGAAGCACAGACTCGATAGCGCGGATGGAGTGTCCCGCAGCCCGGGGTCTGAGTCTCTGCCCAGCCCTTGGGGCTTACTGTGGGGCTTAGGGCTGGAGGTGTGAGATGTCCAATCTGACACTTGGCACTTAGTAGGTGCGTGGTCAGGGGTAATGAAATTAGGATCTTTGTGTGCCTGATGACCAGAGTGAGACCATCCTGACATCCCGGGTGGGAGGTGACCTCCCTTGTGAGGTCGGATGTCCCTACTGCTCTCGCAGTGAGGAAACGGAGGCTCAGGGAAGTAAAGTCTTTAGCCAGAGGTTGAACCCTCAGCCTGCTCAGCTCTGGAGCCTGTCTTTTTGTAAGAGGGGGGTCTCTAGGTGCATACATTGTTGGTATATGTCCCACTGGGTCCCTTAGGGCCACCATGGCTCCAGAAGGAACAGCCTTTAAAACAAAGTTAAATAAAGCAGTGAAAGTAGCAACTCTTGGCCCAAGATCCCGAGATCCAGCAGTGTGTTCCCAGGGTCCCTGTCCCAGGCTGGGGACCAGGAAGCAGCTTTGCATATATGAGGGCTGGCTCAGGGTCTTGGGACAGGGGCAGCTGCAGGTTTAGCCTGGCTTTTCGACTCCCACCCAACCAGCCTCATAGCGCTCTACTTATTATTTTTTACTATTGGTCACTTTGGGCCACTTTTTTCAACTGTCCAGAACCCGAATCTCCTTCTGATGTTTGGAGAATTCCCGGCTCTATGAGCAGATTCTACTTTCCACAAAGGGTGCTGGGAATATGAAGCTAGGTTTCCAGCCTCCCTTGCAGCTAGAGTATGGACATGTGACTGGGCTTGGCCAATCAGATACACCATTCTGGACCCGGAGGGAGTCCATTCTGCCTCTATCCAGAGACTCTAGTTCCAGGCAGGTCATGTCCCTCTCCTGCTCAGAATCTTCCATGGCTCCCCATTGCCTTAGGATAAAAACCACATTCCTCCCCATGTCCCACAAGAACCTCACCTCCCTCGAGCCGTCGCCTCCTCAGTTCTCCAGTCACATGGCCATCCCTCAGCTAAGCTCAACACTTTGAGCTCATCCCTGCTTCAGTGCTGTATACTTCCTTTTTCTTCTTTTACACAGGTGAGGGGATGGGCTAAAGGGAACTTGGCAGGGCAGAAGGGGAGCTGGGACTGAGTTTGGCCTGGCCTCTGCCTCAGTCTTGCAGAAGTCTCAACCCTTGTCCCAGAAACTTCTACCTTCAGGAAGACAAGATGTATCCCTTCCAAGAGCTGCAACTGTGTTCACCTCAGCTCAGCCTAACTTAAAATGCTCAAGGGCAAGGGGGTGGCGGTGATGGGGACGATACTGCCCCCCAAGAGGGTGGAAACTGATTCTTGTGAGGTGAAAATCTCTTAATGTTTTTATGTATAAAGCACAGATAAGCATACAAAAAAAATAAACAGATATACAATAGTAGATTAGAAGACAGGCATCAAAACTTCACAGGGAGGCAATTAGAAAAAAAAAAACTATCTAAATATGCTACTTGCATGCATGAAAGCATGCTTAGGCACTCAGTCGTGTCCAACTCTTTGAGACCCCATAGACTGTAGCCTGCCAGGCTCTTCTGTCCATAGGATTTTTCAGGATAGAATACTGGAATGGCTTGCCATTTCCTCCTCTAGGAAATCTTCATGACTCAGAGATCGAACCCGAGTCTCCTGTGTCTCCTGCATTACAGGCAGATTCCTATCCACTGAGCCCCCAGGAAAGTCCGGCACACAGCTTCTCAGGGGCAGAGGTGGGATCTGAACTTGTGCACTGACGCTCCAGAGCCCTCAGGAGGATTGAGCATCCCCTTCAAAGTTCTCCTGGCAGGTCCATCCTGCAGATTCTCACTCCACATATTAGGTGCTCAGGAAACTCGTGCTGTATCAGGGTATGGGGATTTAGATCATCCTCTCCATGTGGGTTGGGGGGCCCGTCTGCATTTCAAAGGGAGAATCTGCTATCTTTGTTTCGCAGGAGAGGAAACTGAGGCCAGAGGTCACAGAGCCAGGGCGTGGTAGAGCTGAGCTTTGACTCCCCAGGGGGAAAGGGTTCTACAGACGGGCAAGGTGGTCATCATCAGGGTCTTCAGCCATCTGGATGCTAACTGCACCTGCGCTTGTGTACTGAGCAGGCCCTACACGTTGCATGGTGAGCTGATCCCACTCCGGGCCCTCCCCCACTTAAA